CCGATATTTTACGATTTCGAAGTCTTGAATTCCTGAAATATCGAATAAAAATTCAACAAAACTAAAATTCTTGTCCTGACTTGTTAAAATTTAATATTAAGAGGGAAACTCATCGATATTCGATATTTTGGCGCGAAAAATATAATGCAATTAATATTTTTTAAAAAAAGTATAAAACTGATAAGATATTTTGATGAAAAAATATTTTGGCAACAAAAAAATTCATATTTAAAAATTTTTAAATTATTAAAATAAAATATTATTACAAAACTCACAAAATTACACTATTATATCAATATTTTCATATTCTAGGATTATATATTCTTGCATTTTTATAGCTCGTTTATTTAAGCTAATTAATTGTTCAATTTATTTAATTATCAAATCAATTCGTGGTTAATGATATGATACATATGTAAACAATTAACACTAAATGAATGATGAATTAGCTGTTTAATGATAATTCACGGGAATATTAAAATATTTTCATCTTCTTCGATTATACTGATGAATATTTAGAAATGTAACTGTTGTCGGAATTTTTTTTTTTCTATGATAACATATGATTGGTAAATGATAAACTTTTGCCAGAAAGGATTATTCCATCATAAAATTTTGTCAAAAAATTCTGTGATTTAGTTTTATTATCAGTTAATGATTCTATTATCACTGATGTGTTTATTGCATAATTATCACTGATGTGTACAATTTTTATCAGTAATTCAAATTACAAAATTTGTATTATCATTTGTTTGCTCTATAATTAATGTAGTTCGACATAGCTTTGATTGAATTATTTTTGTGTCGTATTTAACTCAAATTTTTATTAACATATTTTTTCCACACAATTTCAGCTTCCAATTTAGCAATTTTGCTTAAAAATTTGAAAATTTTTACTTGAAATTTCATCTTATAGCAATAATAATTATTAATTACTTCGTGTCATTTCGTGTCAAAGTTCAAAATTCCACATAAGATTATTTCAGTCAAAAAAGGTTTTTAAAAAAAAGAATGAAAGAAAGAATTAGAATTCACCAAAGATATCGACGATATGCATTGTATACTGCAGTTAAATACCGTAATAAGATATTACCAATGTCTTGTAATATAGCTAACATTAGCGGTATTCCAATGATCGAATATAGAACTGTTAGCTAGAATAAATTTCATTGTCATTTCGATACAATATTAAGAAGGTAACGATTAAATAATTGTAAAACAAACTGTGCATATCTATCCAAGAAGTTGAAAATGTACTGCAATTATCGCACTGTTACCATATTCATTGTCACTACCGTAACTTTTTTCTATATACTGTACTGCAATATTATCTCACTGCTGTCATTATTATACCGCTCACTTGTAATTGTTACTGTGCTGATCAGTGCAATGACTACTAGTTTAATCATTAGATGAGTTGCTACTGCAGTACTGTATCTAATATGTAAGCTTACAACCTCTTTTGAATAATAAAATACAAAATGATACTATATTAATTGATTAACTAGTAAATTTTGAGAATGCATATGTTTATATGCACATATATTTAAAAAATTATCTTACAGTTTTGCCAGTAGTTGTACGACATGCAATTGTCCCATAGCCAATAGTCGTAAAAAGTGTTATCGCTGTAATGATCAATGGGAAAAATAAAAGAATATAAAATTAATTAAAAGAAAAATTATCTGGAGAAAATGAAGGAAAAATAAAAGTTTTTTGAAAATAAAAATCGATAAAAATTAAAAAATTAATGGAAACATTGTTAAAAACAATGAATATTTCCCATTCAGTTATTTGCCTTTTATTATGACAGTCAATAATGATTAATGAATGATTACAGTAAACGTACCGTAAAAAATAGCGCTGCTAAGAGTCCATGTAAATGCGCCGTTTTTCATTTGATTATATTTGTACAAAATGCTTTGCTTATACTTTTCTTCTGTTTCAAGCATTTGTTGATAAAAGTGTCTGTAGTAATGCTCAATGGTAATTAACAATAATAATAATAATAATAATAATAATAATAATAATAATAATAATAATAATAATAATAATAATAATAATAATAATAATAATAATAATAATAATAATAATAATAATAATAATAATAATAATAATAATAATAATAATAATAATAATAATAATAATAATAAT